TTGAAATTTGAATCAGGGGAAAAAAGTAGGGCACGAAAATTTACTAGTAAATTTCAAAATTAAGTCAAATGAAGGAATTTTACTGACCTCATGCTGTTGTCTGGCAATATCCAAAAAGGACAAGTTCTCCTTAACTTTTATAAAAGACTTTGGTCCATCGCAACCCATTGTCGTACCAAGCCCTCCATTCAATTTTACCACAACCAAGCGATCAAGAACGTCTTTTCTGTGCTAACAAGTTATTAGGGATATTTTTGAGGAGTTAAATTATTAGAATTAAACAAAAATTGACTAAGATTTGACAATATGGGATTAAATGAATTAATAAAATGTGGGAAAAATGAGGAAATAATTGAAACTCAACAATTAAAATTATGGTATTTAAAGCTCAAAGAGAAATAGTTCCCGTTTGAGGGTTTCTAACCTGGTTGGGTCAAAACTCGCTAGATCCGCATGATTTCTTTGCACATCATCAGCAATAAACTTCCAGCTGTTCCAATCAATATAGTGTGTTTCTTCCAGAAATTGCCGATAGAGTTGTCGGAATACATTAGCCTCTGATGGAGAGATCTATGTAAGAAATTTACGTAAAAAAATAGAATTTGAAACAAAAAATTAGGAAAAACCAAAGAAAATTAGGGAGGGAAAAGTAATGCGAAATTTTACTTCAACAGTTCTGGCGAAAAACTCGTCCAACTTCTTAATCAGCTCCTCCTTCTTCTCGGCTGAGATATGCATTATTAAGAATATTTAACAGCTAAATAAGTGATAGATTCGGTCCGGGTATTGGTCTAGCGTTGGTCAGCACGTGGTCGATATTAGTAAGTGAACATTGAGTTGCGCAAGCGAACTTTGCTGATGCATTCCGACGATAATGTCAAGGACATTCCTCTTGACATCAATTCGATTTCTTATCAGTACTGGTATTTGGCTTTGCTCACTGCGTTGTAGTGATTTCTTGCATTTCAGATGTCGAATACTCGAATATTCGAAAATCTTACATTGAACTGAGCTATTTGTGAAAATAAATTTTTACTGATCTTGGCAATATTTTCGTTCAAATATCAATTGCCACTCTTTCCCTATAACTCGTCAAAAATTTCAGAATTACTGGTTTATCTCACCTTACACTCTAATTTTTTCTGGGATAGATCTAGATTGTCTTGTGAATTTATTTTGGACGACGTCTAGACATCATTAATTTTTTCAAAT